AATAATAACGTATCACAAGGCAAAATTCCTTTAGTTGAACGAGAATTTAAAGTAAAAATATGTCAATTATTGGAAAATAATGTAGAGATCGAGACACACGTATTACAACACGCAATACCAGACAAAGGACGATCGCCATATTGAAATATTTATTCATATATTATACGTAATACTTCGAACTATATTACGAACAGAGAATACGAGTTCTAAAATTCGATTGTCACAAGAATACACACTTATTATTAACAATAACGTATCCCATGAGAAGATTTCTCTAACTGAATGAGAATTTAAAGTATAAATACGTCAATTATTAGAAAATAATATGAAGAGCAAAACACACGTATTACGAAAACACACGCCAGAGACAGAGGACGATCGCACACATTGATATTTATACATATATTATACGTAATACTTCGAATTATATTACGAACAGAGAATATGAGTTTTAAAATGAAATTCTAGTCGATTGTCACACTTATTATTAATAACAACATATCTCAAGACAAGATTCCTATTACTGAATGGAAGTTAAAAATCGAAATATCTTAATTATTAGGATATAATGTAAGGACTGAGATTCACTTATTATGAATATACAACGCACGAAAGATGATGGCCATATTGAAAAACTAATTTTACAATACGCAATACTTTGAACTACATTACTAACGTAGGATATGAATTCTACAACGAAATTCGATTATCGCAATACACACTTAATATTAATCAAAACGTATTTGAACAGAAGATTCCTATGTCTAAATAACAATTTAAAGTCAAAATTAGAAATTAATGTAAGTATTGAATACACGTTTTAAGAACACACCAATGCTCGACATATGACGATCGCCATATTGAAAGACTAACACACACATAAGGCGCAATACTTCGAACTAGATTACGAACGTAGGATATGAATTCTAAAATGAAATTAGATTACCGCATTATATTTACCGCATTTAATATTAAAAACGAACGAATATAAAAACGAACCTCAAGAAAGGATTCTTATATCAAAATGAGAATTTAATATTCACAATCTAGTTCAAAATGTTAGGTATTATATATAAATATATATAAATTTTTCAATATGGCGATCGTCCTTTGTCACGTTAGGTGTGTTGTAATACGTATATTTCAATTTTTATACTTTTTTGTAAAATTAACATATTTCGATTTGAAATTTTCATTCTGATGTAGGAATCTTGCTTTAGGATATGTTATTAGCAATAATAATTATGTATTCTTGTGATATTCGACTCGAATTTCATTCAAAAATTCATATTCATCGGACGTAATGACATTCGAAGTATTACGTGTGATATATGTATAAATATTTCAATATGGCGATCATCCTGTGTCAGGCATTGGATGTGTAATACGTGTGTCTTGATCTTCACGTTATTTTCTAATAATTAACATATTTCCACATTAAACTTTTATTCAGATAGTAGAATCTTGTTTTAGGTTACGTTGTTATTAATAATAAGTGTGTTTTCTTGTGACAATCGACTAGCATTTCATTTTAGAATTTGTATTCTCCATTCGTAATATAGTTCGAAGTATTATCTATAATATATATATAAATATTTCAATTTGGCGATCGTTCCTTGTCAAGCATTGTGTGTGTTCGTAATACGCGTGTTTCGATCTTTATATTATTTTCTAATTATTGACATATTTCTACTTTAAATTCTCATTCAGTTAGAGGAATCTTGTCTTGGGACACGTTGTTATTAATAGTAAGTATGTATTCTTGTAATAATGGACTGGAATTTCTCTTCAGAATTCGTATTCTCCGTTCGTAATATAGTTCGAAGTATTAGGTGTAACATATGTATAAATATTTCAATATGGCGATCATCCTCTATCAGATATGTGTGTCGTAATATATGTGTCGATCTTTATATTATTTTTTAATAATTGATATATTTACACTTTAAATTCTCATTTAATTAGAGGAATTTTGTCTTGGGATACGTTGTTATTAATAATAAGTGTGTATTTTTGTAACTAGAATTTCATTTTAGAATTCGTATTTTCTGTTCGTAATATAGTTCGAAATATTACATATAACGTATGTATAAATATTTCAATATGGCGATCGTTCTCTGTCAGGCGTTGCGTGTTCGTAATATGTGTGTCTCTATCTTTACGTTATTTTTTGGTAATTGACATATTTTCACTTTAAATTATCGTTCAGTTAGAAGAATCTTGACTTGGGATACGTTGTTATTAATAATAAGTGTGTATTCTTGAGATGATCGATTAGAATTTCATTTTATAATTCGTATTATAATTCGAACGCGTTCATAATACAATTCGATGTATTACGTATAATATATATATATATAAATATTTCAATATAGCGATCGTCTTCTGTCAAGCATAGTTCGTAATAGGTGTGTCTCAATTGTTATATTATTTTTTATTTAATAAAATATTTAGATCATGTATTCCCTATCACATAAGTGAATCCTGTTTGTCAATACATTGTTGTTAATAATAAGTATATATTCATTTGGTAAAAATTACGAGTTTCATTACGAATTCGATTATTAGTATTTTTTAAAGTGTTAGAGAATAAACCATATTTTCGCGGGTAATAATCTTTTCAATTTGGCGATCGTTCTTTGTCAGGCAGTGTGTGTTCGTAATACGTGTGGCTCGATCTTTACATTATTTTCTAATAATTGATATATTTCCACTTTAGATTCTCATTCAGTTAGAGGAATCTTGTTTTGAGATACATTTTTATTAATAATAAGTGTGTATTCTTGTGANGATCGTTCTTTGTCAGGCGTTGCGTGTTCGTAATATGTGTGTCTCGATCTTTACATTATTTTCTAATAATTGATATATTTCCACTTTAAATTCTCATTCAGTTAGAAGAATCTTGTCTTGGGATACGTTGTTATTAGTAATAAGTGTGTTTTCTTGTGATAATCGACTAGAATTTCATTTTATAATTCGTATTATAATTCGAACGCGTTCATAATATAATTCGATGTATTACGTATAATATATATATATATTTTTCAATATGGCGATCGTCTTCTGTCGAGCATAATTCGTAATAGGTGTGTCTCAATTGTTATATTATTTTATAATTAATAAAATATTTAAATCATGTATTCCCTATCACATAAGTGAATCATGTTTCTCAGTATATTATTGTTAGGAATAAATATATATTCATTTGGTAAAAATTACGAGTTTCATTATGAATTCGATTATTGGTACTTTTTAAAATGTTAGAGAATAAACCATGTTTTCGCGGATAATAATATTTTTAATATGGCGATCGTCATTTGTCAGGCATTGTATGTTCGTAATACGTGTGGCTCGATTTTTACATTATTTTCTAATAATTGATATATTTCCACTTTAAATTCTCATTCAGTTAGAGCAATCTTGTTTTGAGATACGTTGTTATTAATAATAAGTGTGTATTCTTGTGATAATCGATTAGAATTTCATTTTAAAATTCGTATTCTGCGTTCGTAATATAATTCGATGTATTACGTATAATATAATATATATAAATATTTCAATATGGCGATCGTCTTCTGTGAAGCATAGTTCGTAATACGTGTGTGTCAATTTTTATATTATTTTCTAATTAATAAAATGTTTTGATCATGTACTCCTTATTACATAAGTGAATCCTGTTTCTCAGTACATTGTTGTTAGGAATAAATATATATTCATTTGAAAAGAATTACGAGTTTCATTCCGAATTCGATTATTAGTAATTTTTAAAGTGTTAGAAAATAAACCATATTTTCGCGGGTAATAATTTTTTCAATATGGCGATCGTCCTCTGTCAGGTATTGTGTGTTCGTAATACGTGTGTCTTGATCTTTACATTATTTTCTAATAATTGACATATTTCTACTTTAAATTCTCATTCAGTTAGAGGAATCTTGCCTTGGGATACGTTGTTATTAATAATAAGTATATATTGTTACAATCGATTAGAGATTTCATTTTAGTATTCGTATTCGTAATTTTGTTCGAAGTGTTGTATGTATAATATATTTATAAATATTTCTTTATGACGATTTTGTAAGGTATTGCTTGAATGTAGTATTATTGATGTGAATTTTGCTATTAATTTTAATAAATTTTATATTTTCATGACTAGGTCCATTAAATATGGAATTTCTGTTTTGCGATATATTCTTTTTAATAATAAATGTGAGTTCTTGTATAAAATTTTTCAAATTTTATTTTTGATTTTAATTGTTTGAAGTTTGTGCGTAGTATGATGATTTTTAGCACGGTTTCGCGCATAATTTTTCAATATGGCGATTGTCTCGTCAAGCATTGTGTGTCATTGTTTTGTGTTGCTTAATTCTTATATAAAATTCTAATAATTAACATATTGTGAATTTATATTTCGAATCTTATGTAAATATTTCGTATTTCCTTATTTGTGATATGTTTTTATTCGTAGTAATTGTGTATTCTTGTTTTGATGAATTTAAAATTCATTTTAGAATTCAATTGTTCACAATTTATTTCGAAGTATTACATATTCTAGTATATTTTCGCGCGCAATAAAGTTTCAATATGGCGACTGTTTCTTGTCAAGTGTTGTGTGTCGGTATTCTTGTATTTCAATTTTGTTATTATTTTCTAATAATTAGCATATTTTGTTTTTTAATTCTCATTTAGATTTAAAAGTATTTTTATTCGATATATTATTATTGATAATAATTATATATATTTTACAGTAATTGTGACAAAAGTATTCTATATGATGAATTACTTGGTTACAAGAAATTATAAAATGAGATAAAAGGTTAGGTTTGTTTCGGTTATTCATTAATTTTAAATATTATTTTTGCAATTATATTTTTCTTTTGAATTTTGACTATATTTTTAAGAATTTCCTGTTACCATTCAATTTATTTCTTGTAATCTGACATGAAATGCTACGTTTTGGAAATTAAATAAATGTAACTTTTGTTTGATCTTGTTTGTTGTAGAGGTTGCAGTGGTCCAGCAGCGGGGCGCATCGCGAACTTTGTTATCTGAAAGGACGTAGTGAGGACGAGTGTCAAAATTATGTACGAGTATTCGGCAGACAAGGACCTGATCAATTTCTTGTTTGTGGAACGAATGCATACAAACCAGCATGCAGACAATTCACTATTAAGGTAAGTATTATATTCCTTTTAACTGGCGATATTGTTTTTCGATATGTAGCTCATTATTTTAAATCGCCAACTATCAATCATTTGAATATTCGATTATCATAGTTATATAGACATTAATTGGTGAAAAAACATTTATAAACTTCTATATTTTGCTTTATTTTACTGTATATTTCCTTATTCGCGCTTTTTTGAATAACATTTAAATATATAAAATAATTATTTAAAAATTAGAAATCGAATAAGAAATAACATTTAATATTTGATTAAGCAATATATTTATATATTGTATAAAGTAAACGTAAAGTAACTTATCCTTTAATATTGGAAAGTATTTTCATATTTTCATTATTAATAAAAAAATCTAAAATTTCATATTAATTCATAAATTATATATTAATTATAAATAATTATATATAATTAATTATATATATTAACTATATATATTAATTATATATAAATTATATATTATTATATATATAAACATTTAATATTTTAATATTATTATTGGGAATTGAACATTTAGAATTGTAAAATTACTCGATTTAATTTTTTTGAATTGAATATTTTTAATGCAAATGATGTTATTATTTATTTTTTTAGCTCTTAATTAAAAGATATATTTTATTTAAATGATTAATTAAATGTAATATTTATATTTGTTGAATTTTTTTTTTTTTTTGATTCAATTAGTTTGATTGAACCATTAATTAAATATTTTTGTGAATATGTATTCATATATGTAACAAGATTATTACATATGTAATAATTGTGAATATAAAATATGTGTATTTCTATCATTAATAAATTAATCTTTTATAAGAAATATCGCATATTTTAATAAATTAAAATATTAATTTTTTTACATTTAGTGATAATTATTTATTTCAATTTCAATTATGCTCATAAAAATTCAAAAATACTATGATATTCGAATATTCAAATAATTAGTTTGTTTCTTTAGAAAGAAACAAAAATTTTTTTTTTACAAAGAATATGTAATTGTATCAGATATGGACAAAATATTATTTAATGAATAACAATTTAAAAATTCTAATTATTAATTCAGATGTGATTAATCGATTTGATATGTATTTATATAATTTTTTAATTTAAATATTTGGACATTATCTTAATATTGAACTCACAAACACGATAACATCAATTATAAGTAATATTCATTAAAATATTGTTCATTTAATGTTTATTATATTATCGATTATATTATAGCTTTGTTATAATGAATGATTATTAAATTAACATCTATTAAAATTCTTACAAATGTGTATGTATAACAAATGATAATAATGAACGATAATATGATTGAAACAATTATTTATATGTAGATATATTGATCTAAATAATGTCCAATTTTGATCAATTATATTATTTTTACAACAAATATAAAAAATATTTACATATTATCTTCCAATAAAACTTTCGTTTTTATTTTCATCTAATTTTGGCAAAAGTTTTGTTTGATGTTGGTCTATAGCTATTGTAGATATGGAGTAATTCAAAAACTAATTATCTTCAAAAAGTGGATTCATTTATCACATATTTCTCAAATTTAATAATGGATAAGGAATTTGAAAGAATTGTAGAGATGAAACTTAAATAATCACTAGGATTAGAATAATTATAATATATTTTCATCTCAAGTTGCAAAATCAAATATCTATAATTTTATAATATCAAGTTATTTTATAGATTACATCATATCTTCTTTGAACTTTTAAAGCACTTTGAATTTCTAAAGCAAAATCAAATAACAAATCTATCCATTTTGTTTCTTGAATTTTCCATCGGTAGATTTTCATTAATTAGTTTTTTTTTAATAAACCATTCATTTACATGAAAGATTAATAACAATCCGTTATTATATTTTAATCAATATACTCTATAAATTAATTTGTGACGTTCATAATTCACAAAATAAAATTTGATTATCTAAACGCCTTTATCGAGTTCAATAAAGGTTTTACGCTTCAATAAAGGTAAACAATGAATCACGATGATTTGATTTTGGCTTTGCTTTGTTTATTTATTTAATAACTGAAACCAGAGGAAAGGAGATATGCAAGAAGAAAGGATATTTTAATAGTATAGCTACAAAATCAGAAAGGGAAAGGAAATTAAAAGGTAAATAAGATTAGAAACGTAGAATTTGCGGATAATTTATTGCTGGATGTTAAATATTGGCGCAACAAACAGAACGTATAACATGATTATGCAATGATAGTAATAAGAGAGAACGATAGGGGAACTATAATCAGATACTCGTCAGTGTAATGACGATGCGAAGTATTTTATCGTATTTTCTAACCAAAATCAAATTATAAGAAATAACTCGATATTTTTTCATTTCAAAAATTAAAAGATATCGAGAAATTTCTTGGAAAAATGATCTATAAAATAAAATTTAAATCGAACGATTTATACTGGAGGTTTAGTTTTATGTTTCTAATATATTTTAAAGATAATAAAAAAAAGAGATGATATGGTAATGATCATAGAAGAATTATTATTTTATGGGATCTTATTTTGTTTATGAGTTTTATTTTTTATTATTTTATTTCCATTTCCATTTTATTTCGATTATCTTATATTTTCATGTTTCTATTATATTCTAGTTATCGATATAGATATTCTTGCAATACTTTTTAATATCTTTCGAATAGAAATTATTTAAGTTCGGGGTATTTCGAAATTTATTCCTATAAATAAAAATCTATTGAATTTATTCTTTCTTCTTTCCTATTTTTTATATTTTTATTTTTTCGTGTCATAGCAATTCAATGAAAGAAAACAAATTTTTTAAATTTTATATTTATATTTAGTAACTAAATAGAATTTTTTTATTACTTTTCACAGATTCTAAAATATTTTCTTTTTCTTGAATACTCTGTACGTTAGATAGATATAGATACAGTTAATTAAAATTGATTAGAAGCTTTTTTTCCTAGGAAATTCTTGATTGAAATATATTGCTGTGTAGTTTTTTTCTTCTTCTTTTTCTCCTTCTTCTTCTTCTTCTTCTTTACGAAAAAAATTTCGTTGTGAAGTTTTGATGTTAATCGTGGTAACGTGTTAAAGTTCAAATGAATAAATCGATCTAGTTCTGATTAGAAAAAGAAAGAAATTTTATCCGGTTGTTGACTCGGGAAAATACGGGCAATAGAGGCAGGAGCTTTTATGAGGTCTTTTACGAGGTTAGAATAGACTGAAGTTCTTTTCAACTTTTTACTTTATCACAGGCCACTGCTAATATCACATAATAACTCGTAAAACACTGTATCTATCTGTAATAGTTTACTCGTGGAAGCTAGCGTACTTTGTTCCCTTTCACGTTTCCCTTTCTCCCTTTTTCTCTTTTGTAACAACGATTTTTCATAGCAGCGTAATAACGTATTTTTCTAAATTTTTCTTTCTTTTAACGTTTAACGAGTATTTATAATATAATTACGCAACGTCGTTCCTTAATTTGTAAATAACTCAAATTAATATCTTGAAAGTCTTTTATCTTTTTTACTTTATATTTTGAGAAAGAAAAGAAAGAATAGAATGAAATTAAATGAGAGCAAAATTTTCAACCATCCCAAGATAGATGTAAAAATTGTAAAAAAAAATTAAATATAATTTAAAATGAAAATTAAAAATTATGTAATTTTCGTCGCAATTTTTTGAAGAATTTTATCTCAAAAAGTAAGAATTTTAATTCTCATACAAATTACATAAAAGTAATACATTTCCAACGAAATCTGATATTTTATAAAATCTACGTAAAATTTCCAAGCTTGATATAAATAACATTTCGGTAATTATATTTGGGAATTTAATATATTTCTCGAGAACATCAGTCAATTAAATGAGTTTGCTAGCATTGTTCTTCATAATACATTGTATTAATTCTCATGGTCATTATCTGGGTATATTCACTATATTAAAGACTTGAATTTCATATCAGTTCTGATATTGTTTTCTTTTCAATGGCGAAATTAATAATTTTCAGATCAATCTGGGTGATTTTTATGAAAAATATCATAAGTTTCGTATCTTTAAAATTTATTGTTATGGCTCACAAAAGGTTGCTTGTTGTATGGGTAATGGGATAGTTGGATATTGTTTTCATCAGTTAGAATTAATATTTACGATATTTCATTTTAAAGAATATCTATATCGATATTAAATTTCCATTTAATTTATCGTAATACCTTAACATTTATTGCATTAAATTTTCGTTGTAATGTAAATTATTGAAATTCAGGATGAAGATATATGAATTTGATTTTTTTTTATTTCTACGATTTTTTAATTATTTTAATTATTTTCATATTAATTTATAAGAAGAGATATAGGAATGAAATTTTTTTCTTTCATGCATATCAATATTGTGAATGATTTATTCTTTATGTTATCCCCATTAAAAACTAATTACGAAATGATAGATAAATTTTATTATGCAATAAAGGAAAAAATTGCAATTAAGAGAAGTAAGAGAGAGAAATAAAGAAGAATTTTTTTTGCTTTCAATAGAATAATATTTGTCTTTACAATAGGTATACATATTTCTAAAATTCATTTAAATAGTAAAATAAAAAGAGTGCAATTATTTTAATTGTTTTTCAGAATTAAAGTCGCACAATGAATAATATCGGTAACTATTAAATTCACTTGCTTTTTTAATTCAACTATAGAAACAATTAACCCAGTCTGCATATATATTGCCACGTTTATGTTGTTTCCAACTGACTTAATTATTAGTCAAGCATACGACATTCCATAATATAGAATAGCTCCATTAAAAAAAATTGTATTTTAAACCCATTTAATTGCACTCTAAATCTCTATTCACAGAATTATCCCTTAAAAACTTTTTTTATTTCATAACACACGTACAAATTAATTACTAGAATTCTATAATATATTAGCAATATCTTTTGAAATATATATTTCTCACTTGATAAAATTTTTCTTCTCGCGTTTGTTTCAAAAATAAAATA